TTTACGGCATAAGACAATGTTTGTTCCAAGTACATTCCACTGAAATGTTTCAAACATATTTTACGTTGTGCCAAATGGAGATACCAGCAATGTTCCATGGAACATGAATGGAACATTTAAATATTTCAATGAAACATTCCAGGAATATTCATAAAATATCAATATACTAATTGGGTATGTCCTAGATTTCTATTGTATTTTATAGGAAAAACGGAATGAGAATGATCAAAATCCATTCTAAATATTTCCGTGACAGGAACCCTAGTATTTAAATACTAAATTATATTTTAATAATATTATATTATATGATTTATAATCACTAAATGTAGTTTAAATCCTTAATGTATTCAATATTGTAGTGTCTTTTATGGGGATAATGAACCGCGGATAACGTAAACGTCAACTCACGTGTGTGGATATACTTTATTATTCGCAACGCAGATTACAGCTCGCGACATCCAAAGCCGTCTTCACTTCGCGATTGCTCTCGTAGGACTAACCGACAACGTAGCCTCGTCGACGACGATCGCTCGAACAAACGACTCTCGGCAATCTTTGCAGCCTCGTCGACGACGATCGCTCGACAAACGACTCTCGGCGATCCTATCGCTACAGGACTTAGCAGGTCGCGAACACAGCCCCGACTCTCGCGCGCTCCTTACGATAGTACACTTAGCTATCCTGCAGTTACAGTTGTCTCCAACTGTCCTACTCCTAGTCGGAAACCTCAGCCAAATTGATTGCCCAAGGCTTCACGTGATCCGCCGACGTGGAGGTTTGCAGGGGACCCTCGTGCTCTCCGACCTTGCTCACTAGATATCTATCGTTCCGCAGACATTTCTTAACAGTATAAAGGCCTAGATATTTTAGCGCTAACTTTAGTCCAGGCCCTAATTGTGTTCGCTTAATCGCCACTAACTCGTCCTCGTCGTATCGCTTGGGTTCCTTGCGTCTTTTATTATAAGTTTTCCGGTTTTCTTCTTGAATCTTTAAGATATTCTGCTTCGTCAAGAGGCGTATCTTGTCTCTATCATTCTGGAAATAGTTCTTTAACACGCGGATCGCCCTTAAGGCGCATGTGTGTTCCTAACAGCAAGTTGAACGGTGCGAATCCGGTGGTTCTACTCGGTATTGAATTTATATACTGTTGGGCAATATCTAAATGTTTAAACCACTCGTTGGATTTTGGCATTGCCAAAGGTTTTAGTTAATACTGGTATCAGAGTCCGATTTATCCTCTCTACTTGACCATTCGATCGCGGTACTCCGGTTGTAATAAGCACGTGCTCGATGCCCTCTTGTTCGCAATATTCTTTAAATTCTCGTGATGAAAACGCGGTGCCTCTATCGGAAACAAATCGCCTCAGATTTCCACAGATTGCAGCCTGTTTCGTAAGCCGATTCACTACCTCGGAGGTACCCGTACTTTAGTGGCGTAAAACCAAACGAATTTACTGAACACGTCCACAACTATGAAGATATGCCGATAATTTTTCTTTGTAGACGGAAGAGGACCCAAATGATCGACGTGATACGTGTCTAGCGGTACACCTCCTTTGTCGATCGCATGCAACCAACCGTCTTGTTCCCCCCCCCCCTTTCGCTCGGCTAGAATACAGTTAATGCAGTTACGTATGACTTTCTCGATTTTCGCACGTATGTTCGCAAATCAATAGTCTCTTTTTACTACAAGCTCCGTTTTGTTGATCGAGAAATGGCCCTGTTCGTGAGCGCCTCTTAATATCTGCGACTGATGGATCTCGGTACCACCAATCGCACGTCATCATCGAATGCTTTAACTAATAGTCCGTTTTGTACAACATAGTCATCTGTAGAATTACGCTCCGCTAGATCAATCATTTGTCGCACTTCATTATCATCGCGTTATGCTTTTCCTAGCCTTACCATCAGTCCTTCGTCGGTCTCATCTATTGATAATACGCACGGCAAGGGGTTTCGGCTGAGCGCGTCTACATGGGTCATACTCTTCCCTGCGCGATGCTCGATCGTATACGAGAACTCCTCTAAGAGTAACACCCATCTCGCTACCCTAACGCACAAATCTTTATTGTTCATCGTCATAGCGAATGCGCGACAGTCTGTGACTGATTTTGAACGGGATGCCTATGCAAGTACACTCGCGTAACGCTTTTATGATCGCGAGAACTTTAAACTGGTAGCTGTGTTACTTCTCTTCGGCTTCCATGGTCTTTCCGCTCGCGTGGTACACTGGATGAAAAAGTTGGTCGTTACCGTCACGTTGCATTAGAATGGCACCATACTCGTGCATGGATGCATCCGTATGTAACTCCGTATCGCAATTCAACGTATATAGTTTTAGCACAGGCCTTTCGCTCAATATCATTCTAAGTCTTTGAAAGGCAGATTTTTTCCTCTCACCGAAATGGAAGGGTACGCTCATCTTTAACACATTCGTCAAGGAACGCGCTATTAATGAATATCCTGCTATGAATTTTCGGAAATAGCTCGTGAGACCTATAAAACTCTGCACTTGTTTCACATTATTCGGTTCCAGAAACCGCAATACAATATCTCCGTTTTGCGCGGCGACGGACGGATAGTCCCATCCGCGACGACATGTCCCAAATATTCCACGCAGTTTTGCAAAAATCGACATTTACTCCAATTAATATTCAGTCCGTGTTGGGAAGCTGTCTCTACCGTCCTATTCCCTCTTCGCAAGTTGACGCTGGAATAATGAAATCATCCATATAGATCGACAGAGTTTTCTCTAGTATAAACCGTTTGAAACTTGCGAGAATGTATCTTTAGAAAACTGCGGGAGAATTGCATAATCCGAACAGGACCATTAAAAATTCATAATGGCCTTCCGGTGTAACAAACGCGGTATACTTGCGGCTATTTACATCTATCGGCACATGGAAGAATTCGTTTTTAAGATCAACGACGGTAAAGATCTTAGCGTTCTGCAAGGAATTTA